AGTTCGCCGGAGACGGCGAGGTAGAAGGAGAGAGCAACATCAAAAGGAAGCCGTATTGGGGAATCTCTGTGAGTGAAGTTGTCACTTAAATCTCAAAGGAAGAAGAAGCAGGTAAGGTTTTGTCGTATAGAGGAGTGTAAGCTTCTGAAGCTGAGAATGTGATTCAGCTTTCTCACTAACCTCTCTTGTTTTTTTTCTTTTTCCGGTGTTTTTTTTTGGTCACAGATTAGTTGTTGTTGTTGTTAATCATTTTAGTAGTAATTATTATTGTGTTAATTACTTGGTTTTTGTATTTTTCAATTTGGGTTTTTACAAAACACAATGAGACAGGCGAGCAAATCAGACTCTGGGGACAACCACTTTAGGTTCTTAATCTTAAAATTAATCATATCAAAAACCCCATTATATATAACCCAAAAAAAAAAAAAAAAGTTTATTTTTCTAAGAAAGTGGAAGATGGATTCCAAATTTTGACAACTGGTCCCCACTCTAAAAGAATATCAATTTTCAACTATGGAAAAAGTGTAGATACCCGGGGGTTTCAGGTTCACATGATAAGCTAGTAGTGCACCTTGAATAATCATACTTCTAATAAGTGGTTTTCACCTTTTTTTAAGACATCTCTACGAATTAACCTATAAAAACAGAGTGCAGGACAAACCAATATAATATATATACTCTTTTGGAACCATAAGTCCCACATAGGAAAAAAAAAGGTTGAAAAGTAAGTTACTTACAATCAAAAATTGAAACTACTTTTCCTAAATCTTTCTATAATTTTGGTCATGTTAAAAGTCACTAAGTAAAACTGTGGTAACTATTCAAGTTACCTCTTTTGGGTTACAACATTACACAGAGACTCTCTCTGAAGCTGATAAGAAGAGCCAGCCCTCTGAGAATACAGCAGGAACAAATCCCTTTGGAATTAGTCCATTCCTCTCCATAACCATGTCTCGGGCTTCAAGCAAGGAATGTCGACGAAGCCGGTGAAATCATTGATCTTCATCACTTCATGAAGATAAAGAAGAGCATGCCATCGAGTCCAGCCGTGGAAGTCGGAACATTTTGATGCATCAGATAGGCATATGAGCGAGTTGCTCAAAACCATCCAAGGCTCTTAAATTGAGATTTCAAGACTTATTGAAATTTTGCTGATGTCTTAATCAGCCTGAAACGGCTCTAAAGAACCCCACGTTTTCCCAACCTTCAGTTTCACATGTAGAGGGACTGAAATTACAGAATAGAATCAACAAAGTCAAGATATATAAATCACACAAAAAGAAGCCTTGTATATGAGGAACATACCGAGAAGTGAAACCGCATTTTCCATGCTGGTTTGTAACAACATTGCAGCTTCTTTTACGTAACAAGGATCCACTTCCAGCACAAGTTCGTCATGTACCTGCATTAGGAAGTTTAAATTGAAAATCTGGACATAAACATATATAACCCAAACAAAAAAGGGTGGACAACTCTCACCTGTAGAAGAATTCGGCATCGTCCCTTCAACAGGTGAAACCTAGTTTCAGTTGAAGAACTAGATGCTGCGGTATCAACATCCTCAGAAATTGCAGAATATATATTTATCATAGCAATCTTGATTATATCAGCAGCAGATCCCTGAACAAAAACCACAACCAGGTAAAATTATATGGTCTGGAAGCAAATGTTAAGGACTTCTTTTTCAAGGATATCTCTTTCAAGGAACTGAGACTCTTTGACATGAACAGAAAAGGAATGGTTCGGATAGAATAATTAGAACTGTAACCAAAAACTAAAGAGGAAAAAGGGAAGATAAAACTTCCATTCTAACAAGATAGATCCGCTATAGTGTCTATGAAACGCCACAGCATAACATTATGTGTCAGGGTAAAGAAAAGGAAGAAACGAGGTCAGACCTGGCACATGGAATTTACAGCTTGCCTTTGAGCCTTAGATTTCTCTTTGGCATTCCCAAATTTTATTTTCGACAAGAAACGCCTTCTTCCCTTGAGCGTCTGAATGTATCTGCATATCAAAGTATAGTTCATAAAGAAGCAGAGCAAAGGAGGTAAAAGACAATTTATCAGTAATAATTTCAAGTTCAAAAGACTCGGAACACTGTTGTAAGAGCTAAAATCATGGATGAGAATAGTGTAACATCCTCACCCCTTTTCCTGGCAAAATGAAATTGTTTCGTTAAGCCAAGAGGTGACTGCAGGGAAAGAACTTTTAAAGCTTCTAATTTTCTCCTTGGCTTCATCTGAGCTGCACTCAAGCTGTTCTGCAAGCCTGTTTGCACCCATTCCATATAGAATTCCATAGATCAATCTTTTGGTCTGATCTCTATCATCTGGACTAACAGAATCCTCTGCCTTTCCGGTCCATCTTGCAGCTATCATCGTAAAGACATCGCCTTCTGGCTGACTAAGCTGTGTAATCAACGAGGAATCGCGAGAAAAGTGTGCCATAAGTCGTAACTCTATCTGTGAATAATCTGCTGTCAAGAGTAGCCAATTTTCCTGTGGTGAAAAAATCAACAATATACTCAATCTTCAGGGAAACCAGAAATCTATTATGGCTAAGATGATTGAAAATACATGGCACAAAAGATGGTGTGACATATACTTAACACTTTTTCCTATAAAAGTTACTTAGTAAGGTTCTACACTACTGTCGTATTGTGCAAGAATTGTATTGTCATCTTCAATCCTCCACATCGAAAGAGTTTCATATAATAAGATGCTAATTAGAACCACATTAACTAAATAGAACACTTTTGACTTAGCAACTATGAGCTTCCAATACCTTTTTTTTAATCCATATGTGAAATTCCCTATACCTCGAGTAACCAGCCCAATAATTCAGAGGGACCCAAACCAGTGACCTCTCGGAAATAAAAGCTTTCAGTTGCACAACTCTTTTTCAGAAATATGTAGTCTTGTTGGCTTGAAGACCAAAGACACAAAGCTTCTAGAAATTTCAGAGAGATTTACCTGAGTAGGAACAAAGAAATCACGTGCATTAATTTTGTAACGATCAGCTAAATTCGCTTCCTTTCCACTTTTATCCAATATGAACTCTACTTCATGCTCAACAGACTGCAGAAAAGTAACATGGTCATTGTTTTTTAAAGATACACAATAGAAAGAAAGATGAAACATAACAGAAGTCATACTTGGAGATTAGGCTCTTCAATGGAAAGCCGCCCAGTTGCTGTTGATGTTTGAAGCCAGCGGCCATGCAAAGTGTACCTTTGCGTGCTCAAGCGTAGTTTAGCAAGTGAACAAATTGATCCAAGTGTACAATTTAAGAGTTTTGCCAAAGTGCGGTGCTCTTTGATTATTGGGACAAGAGGATGCTCATTCCTGGGACAAGGTCATATTCCAAAGTACGGTCAGACTAAAATAGAATCACAGTAGCTGGGGGAAAACCTTGATCTTCATATCATAACCACAGACTTGCTCTTTACAGAATTTACTGCTGAAAGTACCTCAAAACGTCTGTTATCGTGCGTAATGAAAAAAGAACACATTGTAAGGAAAAGCAATTTGCCCTTTGCAATACCTTAAAAGATCCAAGCAATGCTTATCAGTACTTGGATGAAGTTTCCCTTTATTTTGGTTCTCCGGTATTGGCAACTTCAACTGTTCAAACAGCACATTTGCAATGTCAGCTGGGTTGTGCAATGAAAATGTCATGCCAGCCAATTCAAATGCTTTCTTCTCAAGGGACCGCAGTTTATCCCGCAATATATTCCGTGCCCCAAGGCATCCTTCTATATCGACACCTATCCCCCAGAGCTCCATGTCTGCAAGGATATTAACCTGAAACAAAGAATGAATGCATTATGCTGCCGCAAAATCAACTAACTTAGCAGAGTAAGAAATTTCTTTGAAATGATTAAGGAGCACTGCAGAAATAAAATTTATTGACACTGGGACCGACTGCCTCCTTGGGCATTATTTACTTATTTAACTCTACCACATAGGATATTCGTCAAGAACCTGTAAGCTACTAAACTCTTACCACCACAACACAAAATTTCTGAAAAGGAAAACCAACCGCAGATGGCTGCTTAAACAAATAACTTCACATAAATATTTAACTTTGAGCATGTCATATAGCTGGATGCTGATGCAGTATAGATAATCCTCTGTAACTATAAAGCAAATTTAAGGAGATATACCAGGGGCATTTCAGTCGTAGTCAGTGCTTCAATAAGTTCTTCGGACACAAGGATCTTCCACAGAGCTGAACAAAGGGCTCGCGTTTGAGCAACCCGTCTGCAGCAACCATTGTGAGCAACCCTTCGGATCTGATTCTTCCACCTGCCACTGCGATTAGCAGCTTCAGCTGCATCTGGGGACAGTCTTTTCTTTACTTCCTTTAACATCACATTAACAATTTGAGAAACTTTGCATGAGTAAATCTACTAAGGAAGTACCGACAAGCAAAATCTGAGTGTAATGATAGACTATCTAACAAAAG